CTTAAAGATCTCTATTGTATTCTAAAGGCTTTTTAAGGTCTTCTATTTGGCTTCAAATGTGTCAAATATTAAAATGTGTCAAATAGGTCCTGCCATGTTGGGTTCTAGTTGAGACACATTGTCCTAGCTGAGTTGATTGTGTCCTTAGGCTGGTGTCCAGGCATCTACAATTGGGAAGATTGTAATTCTAGGTGCTTATATCTGATTTTGTCTTTGTTGGGTGGGTGTTTTGTTCCTTAGTTTTTGTTTCCTCTCTGGATTTTGGAGAATGTGATGGCTGTGTGTTGCCTATAGGAAAATCTTCAGGAATCTTGGTAGGTATGGCCACTGGGAGTTCCAGGTAAAATGTGTTTCTGGGTATTGGGACTTGAGATTTAAGAATGGGGATGGCCTGAGGGTAGTTGAGGGGCTTTGCAAGAGGGAGGAAAGCTGGATATTCCATCAAGATCTGCTTAGTTAGTCCTCTGGGAATGGGGGCAGTGAGTTTCAAAAGGTCATAGCAGGAAGTCTACTAAAGAAAGAGCTGAGGATGAGAGTGGGGGATTGGACTTGGAAGAATGGAGCGGGAGGCAACAATGGGACTTCTAAGTCACTATAGTTTGTTGGACTTAGAGACAAGGAATTCTTGTTGTTAAAGTAAAAAGAGTTCTCTTCTAAAGTTTTAGGCTAGTCTGGTCTACACAATGAGATCCAGGCCAGCAAAGTTATAGAGAGAGACCTTTTCTTATTAAAAAATATGGTAAAATAAAAAGGTGTTTTCTATCTTTAGTTCATACCAACTCTCCTGCATGCCTTTCCTTTTTGCTAACTTGAAGATCTTCTAAGACACAGCACAGATAGATGTCAACCCCCCCCACTGAAGCCTTTTCTAACACTCCCAGACTATGAGTTCATCATCTTGAACTAGGGGGGCAACTGTACTCGGTTCTCAAATTGGGTGTTTGAAACCAGGGGTTGGACTTTATTAGTGTTTGTGTCTCCATGATTAAGAGAAATACCTGTCAAGAAGATAGCACTCAGTGGAGATTTTCACAGCAGTGAGTGAAAGAATGAATACACCAAGTGATCCATGCTTGGATTCAGATAGGGGAGGGGAGGGTGGTGTCAGAATCAGGTGGAGTTATGGTCACATTGCCTAGAGCAGGTAGCTTGGGGGCAGAGGAAAGATCATTGAGCTTCAGTTGAATTAGCCAGCGACAACTGACTTTTAGCAGTTGTGTGACTCTGTGTCACTCTGTACATGTACAAGCCTATGCTAGTCACTTCTCATCATTATGACAAAGCTAAGAAAACAGCTTAAGGGAGACAGGATTATTTTGACACACCAGCTTGGGACCTACCCTTCAATAATGAATTCTTTAAAAAAGATGTATTTATTTTTATTTTATATTTATGACTATTTTGCCTGCATGTATATGTCTGTACACTGTATATATTCAGTGTCCTTGGAGGCCAGAAGAGGGCTTTGGATCCACAGGAACTGGAGTTATAGGCATTTGTGAGCCACCATGTGGGTGCTGGGACCAAACTCAGGTTCTCTGCAAGAGTACCAAGTGCTCTTACCACTGGGCTGCCTCTCCAGACTCAACACAAGAATTTGTAAGTGGTTTCATATCTCAACCATAACAAAGTCTTTGGTTCTTTTCCCAATTTTAATTTTTTTGTATTTTATTTATTTATTCATTGTGGTGGTGGTGGTGGTGGTGGTGGTGGTGGTGGTGGTGGTGGTAGTGGTGGTGGTGTATGTGTGTGAGAAAAGAACTTTTAGGAGTTTTCTTCTACCATGTGGGTGTCATGGACTGAACTTAGGTCATCATGCTGGCTGGAAGTGCTTTCATCCACTGATCAATCTAACCAGCTCATCTACTTTTCTTAGACATAAAGAAAATTATCCTCACCTTTCACACCAGTGAAAGAAATTTTAGAAGGAACCAGAGAAAAATGACACTAAAACATTGAGTTTGTGAAGAGCTGTGAAGTCAGGTACCAAGGACATGGTAGAAAGGCTTATCTCAGGCCTGGAGGACAGCCAACCTGTGACCCTACATATCTGGAAAATGGGCAGCCCAGGGCTCCTCCCAGACAGACAATCCAGATGAGTGTGCTGATTGCACTGACATGGGTCAGCTAGATTTGTGGTACCAAGCCATAGCCCATGGTGATGCTATCAGAGGCGGGGTGGATAATTGCCTGCTTGATGAACCTTTTATGATAAAATGAAGAAGTGTTAAATATATGCACTGATGGGCTGAAGAATGTAAGGCTTGGGTTGCTCGAATTCTTCTGATGGTGAACCAACTTTCAGTGTCTGTACCTGGTGCTACTCTAGAGAATTATGCCTGGCTCCTTGAGGTTCAAATGCCCCACCTCGCCTTAGGCAGAAGGTGAGGCTCAGGGAGGGTTTCCTAAGTGAGTGTTGCTGGTTCTGTGGACTTTCAAAAAAACAAAGGGAGAGTCACCTAGTGGAAGGAAGAGCCCTGTATTTCAGCATAGGCCAATTGACAAACTTGGACTTGGCACTCAAATTCTGCCTACACAAGGAAAAAAAGCAAACCCAGTTAAAGTCCTTCATGTCACTCCAGAAACATCTAAGACTCAACCTTGGTGAACACTGGAAACATAGAAGCTAATGAAACTTCAGCAGTCACAGGGAAAAGCTAGCGACCAAGGCAGCAGGAGAGATTTGAGTCCTCTGGCTTTGGAGAACTTCAGTCAGATCACAGGTAGCTGCAGTCTGCCCAAAGAAAGTGAGAAGACAAAGACTTTCAGATAAGCCTTCATTAAAATATACAGGGGAGATGACTGTCTCAAAACTTCTAGCATTACAAGGAAAGTAAGCCATTCACCACTTTGATGCTCACAATGAAAGCACAGCCAGTTCTTCCAGCAGCCCAGTCGGGCTATAAGCAATGACTGTCTTCTGTGTGTGTTTTAGTATGGTTTCTATTCCTACAACAGACATCAGAGGCTAGTCTCTTGGTGATTTATAAACAACAGAAGTTTATAATGGTTCCATGGTTTTTTAATCTGGGGAAAGTTTCAAGACAGAAGGGCCAGTGAGCTCAAGCAAGAAAGAAAGAGATAGAGTGAGCAAGTGAGGGCAAAGGGCCCAAACACATAAGAATTTACCATGAAATCCACTTCCATGATCATGATGTGATGCTGATGATTAATCTTAATTATCAATTGGATTGAATTAAGAAACTCCTAGGAGATTAGGATCCTGAATCCACCTCTAGTGCTATCTCTGGTAGCATTTTGAGATGAGTAGATCATGATGACTTTGAGCTAATGAATGAATCAATCCTCAGTGGGTTAAGCTATGAAAGTGGTAAAGGGTGGGAAATATGGCTTTGTAGGATGAGGACTGACTGGGGGCTTGAACTTGGGGTTGTATTTTGGCTATGGCTTCTTGCTCTGAGCCCTTTCTTCTGCTCCCTAGCCACCATGATATATGTTGTCTGTCCACCCTCCCTCTCATGATGGACTGACACCTCCAAAATCTGTTTTTGGGTCTGAACCGAAGTATTTCCTCCTTTGTTAAATTGTTAGAATTGTTGATGGTCATTTATTAATGAATTCTTGAGAGTAGAACTTTCAGGACCCAAACTCTGTTTAGAGGCCTCACTTTTCAACCCTCTTATAGTAGAGTAAACATTTAATAGCAGATTTGGATAGGACATTGAAACCATAGCTTTGTACAGGAGAGATAGTAAGCCTCAGAAGCAGGCACTGTGTGCCATCACACACCGATTTCAGAGCTCCGACAGAAACACAAAGTTTTGAGCTTCCCTCTAAGATCAGCATGGATTACAGCTGCACCTGTCAGCCATGTACAGAAAAGATCTCAGCATTGCTGTCCCTGCCCTTGTTCTATCTACCTGTTCAGGTCAACTGGAATTACTCGACAAGGCACAGTCAGAGGAATTAGGATTATTAAATATTTAAAAACATTTTTCTAAGAAAAGCAAACAAACTTTATTAATGATAGAAACATTAGCTAGTCTACTTTTCAAAAAGTATTTTTAAAGTACATAAAACTGGGAACATAAAGTAGAAGCTATCTCTAAAGTAGGGGGGATTCACTAACAAGGAATATTTTATTCAGTTCAAGGCAATGAATAGGAAAACCTGAACAGAGTAACTCTCACTAGGAGATGATTAATTATCCCAATTGTCTGAAGAAAATTGTAAATAAAAAATTCAGTGATTATGAAGGAACTTGAGACAATTATTTTCAAACTTTCAAGGAATCAGTATTGTCCATGAAGTTATATGACTTTATTATTGTTTATGTGTTATTCTCATATATGTTAATAATGTAGTGCATTGTTTATTTGTCTTGTGCTGTAAGTTATATGCAAAGCACAGGGACAATCGCTGGTTGTTTCCATGGTGCCTTACCACAGGATGGGATGATAGGGAGTGGAGTGATGTGAACTGGTGCTGTGATGGAGAGAGGTCGAACAGCTGCATGCTGAGCAACAGAAGCAGTAAGCTTTTGTTGATTCTCTTGGTGGGCTAAAGTTTGGTAGAGTTATCTACTGGTAATGGACAGAGTTTCAAAAGATGTTTGTGTCTTGTGAGCTAGCTTTCTGGCCTTGGGCTTTGTAGGCTAACAGGTGGTGATTTAATCCAATAACTGCTGAATGACTCATTATTTTGCATAAATAGCCTGACCTCATGGATTGCTCTGGACTAAGTCCCAGAGATTACAAGGTTGAGGCACATTAGGTGCTTGAGCTGTGGAGAAGGCATAGGGGTGGTGTAGGAGAAACACACCAACTCCAACGAGTTAGTCCTGAATTATTGTAGTCTTGGTAAAACCAATTTAAATGTGCACTATGCAGAGCTGAGAAGAATCCAATCCAAGGGTCAAGAGAGCAATGGGGCCGATATAATGTGAATACATAGATGCTGAACCTTTCATTCCAATTTAGTCATTTATTGAGTATCTTAGGCTCTAGTGAAGTGTTACTGTTTGTGGACAAAGACAGCCTTCAAATGTCTGCAAAGTAACCTGGGGAACATTTACCAGATCCACATGTTAAAGAGTAACCCAGGAACTGTTACCAGATCCACATGTTAAATGGTAACCTGGGAACCATTACCAGATCCACATGTTAAAGGTGGTTGCTATGGCAAAGTTAGTGGGAAGCTAATGCATTGCTCAGCTAAGTGACCTCCATACTTAGTGATTTTAAGTTACCTAAGACTATATGAAGCTTGAGGGCTTCTGATAACACCAGGAGAGAGATTCATTTTGAAGGGACTGTAATTTTGCTCTGATAGACTACTTAATATCTGAGTTGATTCTAAGAACCTGCTGAGAATATATTACAGGAACTTCTCCATCAGTCACAACTCTCTCTCTCTTCTTTGTGTGTCATTTATCTCAGTCTAGTTATAAGGACCGACTAGTTTCCCAGCGCTCTGCCATTGTGGCCTAATTGGGAGTTTTATGGCAAAGCTGTCAAAAGCATGCTTTCATTGGGTAACAGATGAAGGGTCCAGAGTTTCTGTTTGTCCCCTTGCTGTGGTCCTTACCTGTATAATGTGTGGGGCTTAAATAGGACACATGCAAATTTTTTTCTTATTATTTTTAAATTTTTGTGATGCTTGTGTGAAGTAAGACATTTGTGAAGAAGGTTTGAGCTCAGTGAGAGAAAAGTCAGGAAAGCTTCTCACCGAAGTTTGACTTCAGGGGCTATTTGTGGATTATTTAATTTTATTTACCAAAGTTTTATTTGACACCAACCTTGCTCTGGCCATCCCAGTAGTCTGTTGGAATAAAATAATGAATATCTTGTTCATCGTTGTAATGCAACTTTAGAACTTTAGAAAATACTGTTTTTGGTTTAGGATGCTAAAATGGTTTTGCTGAATGTGCCCCCTGGTGGCCAAGAGAAGAAAACACTTGAAGAAGAAAAGCAATTCATGCTTTACCTGGGATATCTTCTGGACATCAAGAGGTCAATGCCAAAGACACCAGAAAAAAAAAAAAAAGGTTCAGGTTACTCAAATCCTTTCTCATTAAAAGCAGCCTTCACTCTCCACACTATATTACCCTACGACTCTCTGTGTGAAAGAATGTGGAGAACTAACAACGAGCAAGTAAAATAAAAACTAATGTTCTCTCTCTCTCTCTCTCTCTCTCTCTCTCTCTCTCTCTCTCTCTCTCTCTCTCTCTCCTCTCTCTGTTTCTGTCTAAGATATCAGAATGGCAAATTATAAAAGCTTCCCTACCTCCATACTCTGCCTCATCTCCTCTCTACTGTATCTGTATCTTCCATATGAAATAGAACAGTACACATGTGTTCATGGGTGTCATGGAGAAACCACATAAAAGAAAGGACCAGTCCTTCACAACAACAGCTAGTAGTATTCGATGCAGGGGTCTTATGAATCAGGCCACCACTTGACACACAGTGAACCCTCCTCACCAAACTTGGGATCGGATTTTTTTCTTCTTCTTGTGTCTGGAAATATTTTTGTGCTTTCTTAGCAGAAAGGACAACAGCTATATCCCATACAGCTCTGTGATGGTTTTTTGCATATGTCAACTTGACTAGGCTACCCACCTGTAGTTATTCAACCAGACACTCATGCAGGAGTTGCTGAGAAAGCATCTTGTGAATGTAACTAAAATCCCTAACCTATTAACTCCAGGTACAGACCATCCTGGACTATCTGGGTTGGCTTGGCTTGATTCATTGAAAGTCTTCAAAGTCAGGACTGAAGTTCCCCCTTATTGGGAGGGCTAGGTATGAAGGTCAACTGATAGAGTGTTTGCCCAGCATGCTTGGAGCCCTGGATTTGATACTCAACACTGCACAAACCAGATATGGTGGTGCCCACCTTATAATTCCAGCACACTGGAGACAGAGGCAGGAGGATCAGGTATTCAAGATCATCCTTGCTTACTTCATCCTTGACCTTGTCTCAAATGGAGAAAAGGAGAAAGAGAGATACAGAGAGACACATACAGAGAGAGGGCTTCCTGTGGGGAACAACTTCAGCCCTGGACTCTGGTATTCCCTTGGGTTTTTCTTCCTGATTGCCCGTGCTGTGGATGTTTAGTCAGCCCTGACAAATGTGTAAGCCATTTCTGATTAAATCAGTTGCTAAAGCTACTGTTAAAAGAATACTACAAACTGCACCAGTGGCTAGAATAGCAGAGATTTATTGTCTTGCATTTCTAGAGGACAGAGGTCCAAGGTCAGTGTGTCAGCAGGTTGACTCTTTCTGAGGGTTGAAATGCTTCTCAATGCCTTCCATGCCGCTCCCCTTGCTTCGGTAGGTCACTGCCAGGTGCTGGTGTCCCCCTCCCCCAACGTTTGTCTTCATCTTCACAGGGTGTTCCTCTATGTGTGTCTCTCTCTGCATCCAAATTTCCACATTTTATAAAGATATAAGTTATACAGGATTGGCATGCTATGACCTCATTCTCAGCCAATTGCTTCTATAAAGATTGTATCTCCAAATATAAGGTCACCTTCTCAGGTACTGCAGTTTAGGATTCCAGCACACTTTAGAAGACATTAATTTATTCCAGCACTTACTGAGCCCTCAGTCAAACTCCTCAAAGGAGCTTACCAGAAAACTTCATTGCTCCAGGTGGCACATCCCATGTCTCCAGAAGCACCGAGTCGTCCTCTGATATGGAGATATTGAAATCTGAGTATAAACATAAACAGACTGTCGAGTTTGGAACATCAAAAAATGATTTATGGTGATCTTATCAGAATTGTGGAGACACCTCAATAAACAGGGCTACATGGGTCTCTTAGAGAGGTGGAATATTTTAACTTCAACCTGGTTTCCCCTTCCGCAGCTGTTTAAGGGCTAAACAAAACTGGAAGCTCAGGAAGTAGATAACTGGCTCTTTGGATTTCCCATACAGAAGAAGAATCATGAGAGTGAAAATATGGAGGTTGGGTAGCACAAGTGTCCAGGGCCTGGGATGGATGAAGGTGATATATGACCTTTTCCACTGGGTATGTGTTCCACATTTGCTCATAGCCAAGTGAATCTTCTCTGATTCAACACTTAGTCTCACTCGGTTTCTTTTTGTTTTTTTCTTAGCTGTGCTAGGAGTTGAACCTAGGGCCTCATACATGCTAAGAAGATACTCTACCACTGATCACCGCTCTCCACTCCACTCTTACACATGAATTATTGTTCCATTATAAGATTGGAAATAATGAGTCCTTGATGACATTCCTAAGGCCATACATCTGGAAAGGACTGGCCAAAGTTCAGACATGCACCCTAATTTAATTCTTTGTGGAGTCCATATATGAGACTGCCTAATCACTAAAGTTTATTTGTAACCTGTGGTGGTTTGAATGAGAGTAGGTCATATATTTGAATATTTGGTTCCTAGATTGTGAACTATTTAGAAAGGACTAGGGGTAGGACCATGTTGAAAGAGTGTGCCATTAAGGGTGCACTTTGATTTCACAAGCCCACTATGGTGGTTTGAATGAGAAAGACCCCCATAGACTCATATATTAAAATGCTTGGTCACCAGGGAGTGGAACTGTTGGAGAAGATTAAGAGGTATGGCTTTGTTGGAAGAGGTGTGTCACTGGGAGTGGGCTGTGAGGTTTCAAAAGCCTACTCTAGGCCCAGTCTCCCTCTTTCTCTGCTTGGTGCCTTTGGATCAGGATGTAAAGCTTTCAGCTACTGTTCCAATGCCATGCCTGTCTGCTTCCCACCACTGTGATAATGGACTAACCATCTGAAACTATAAGCAAGCTCCCAATTAAACTTTATTTTTTAATAATTGCCTTGGTCATGTTGTCTCTTCACAGCAATAGAACACTCACTCCAGGCCCAGTCATGCTCCTTTTCTACCATGTGCTTGTGGATCAGGAGTAAGCTCGCAGGTATTGCTCTAATGCCATGCCTACTTGCCTGTCTGTATGCCACCATGCTTCTCATCATGATGATCATAGACTAACCCTCTGAAACTGAAGCAAGCCCCCATTTAATTGCTTGTCATGTGTCTCTTCATAGCAATAGAATGGTAACTAAGACATAATCCCACAGGCAAGAGTCATGGTGCTTTTGTGGAACATTTGATGCTCATGTTTCCAGCTGAGGTAGAACAAGGCACAGTCTGCCACCTCCTCCTCCCTTTTTTCCTTCAAATTTACTTATTTTATTTTATGTGCATTCATTTTTTGCTTGTATATGCATGCATACATACTGTGTGTCTTCCTGATGTTTGTGGAGGTTGTAAGAGGGTGCTAGATTCCCTGGAACCAGAGTTACAGATGGTCACAAGCTGCCCTAGTACTGAGAATTGAACCTGGGCCCTCTACAAGCATATAAAGTGTTTTCAACCTCCATCTCTTCAGTCCTTCATTCTGCCTTCTTGTTCCAGCTTTCATGCTACAAACAAAAGTCCTAGTCATAGTCTATTTATTGCCCTGCCATTTTGGTGGTGATGGTGGTGGTGGTGGTGGTGTGTGTGTGTGTGCTTTTGTGTTTTTTATTGGTGATTTAGCTGTTTAATATAGCTCCTAAGTTGCCGGGCGGTGGTGGCACACGCCTTTAATCCCAGCACTCGGGAGGCAGAGGCAGGCGGATCTCTGTGAGTTCGAGGCCAGCCTGGTCTCCAAAGCGAGTACCAGGAAAGGCGCAAAGCTACACAGAGAAACCCTGTCTCGAAAAACCAAAAAAAAAAAATATATATATATATATAGCTCCTAAGCATAGGGCTGAAGTGCTCCCTAGTGCAAGAAGAAGACCATAACATATTTCACATAGAAAATACATGAACTTGAGTCAGGCAAGATGGCTCAGCTGGTAAAGGTGTTGGCAACCAAACCTGATGACCTGAGTTCAATTCCTAGGACCCACATGGTGGTATGAGAGAAGAGACTCCTGCAAGCTGTCCTCTGACCTCAAAATGCCTGCTGTGATATGTGTGTGTGTATAAGTATATATATATACACACACACACACACACACACACACACACACACACACACACACACACACACACTGAAGAAAAATGAATGATTTAGGCATGACTGTAGGAACCTGTAATCCCACCATTTAAGAGGTGGAGGCAGGAAGATGGTGAGTCTGAGATTACATCGAATTCTAGGCCAGTCCCAAAACAAAAACAAATCAAAACACATGTGCTGGATAAGCTTCTTTTAGGCATGCATTATAATGCTGTTCTCCATAAATTTAATGTTAATGAGTAAAAAATAATACTAAATAAGGTGGATTTAATGAAGCTTATATACTGATTGGTTGATACACACACCAGAGGTTTGTAAAACCTAACCACATCCATTCCTAGGAACATCAAATAGTTTGCTGTCCCATATTCATCATTCTTGGTAACTTATAGGATGCAATTGCTATAAGGGCATCAGTGGTACCCATGTTGTACTGCTCAGATTGCCCTTTACTAATAATTAGAGCTGGGAACCTGAGAGCTGATGCCTCTAACTTCTTACCTGCTCTAGAAATGAAGGAGACTTCAGCCTGGAAGCCCCTGGAGGTGCCATTCTCATCTGATTGGAAGCTGATGAGCATCACACTGGAGGTGCTCAGCACAGGGTCAGGTACCACATAGCCACATAGGCGAGCTGTGAGACCCCGTGCAGGTAAGTGAAGCCAAGTGAATAGATACAACATTAAAGAAAGAGAAAACAAATGTGCTTTAGATAGTTGTTGACAAGCTTTTCTGACAAGTACCACAACTCCTCTTCGAAACAAAGGGATTTGCCTCTTCAAAATACGTTTTGACCCCACCAACATTTCAGGTTTGTCTCATCTGCTGAATACTCCCGAAGTGCTGCTAAGGGAATTGCCTCTAGCCACAAGACTTACTGAGCCACTTTTTGAGGTGCCAGGACTAGGGATGAAACTAAGGGCCTTGTGCATGCTGGGCAAGCACTCTACCACAGAGCTTCCTCCCTAGCCCATGAGGCTTGTCTCTTTCTGATTCTTCTTCATTAGGGCCTTTTACATTTTGGTTCAAATAGTTATTTGGTCCCTGCTCTTCGCTCCACTACACAAAAGCAGGAGTCGTGGTGAGACCATAGAGAGAGATGGAGGAGGTTCAGGGAACACAGGAAAATTAAGACAAATCCTTTTATTCTTCACCTCAAGACCAAGTCCAAAACCAACCAGGGGAAGCCAGGGCTTCAGGGGAATACGAACCTATTTCCTTCTCCCTCTCGACATCACTGTGTATAGTCACATAGTCCGAAGTGCAGTCTCCATTTTCTTCTATTTCTAGGCTCTGAAATGACAGCTGAGAAGACTTCTGGTTACATTTAGAGAAGCTCAAGTAGTGAGCAGATAACTCCAGGTTACTCACCTTGCTCTAAAGGAGTGGTTCTCAACCTGTGGGTCATGACCCCTTTTGGGTTGAATGACCCTATCACAGGGGTCACTTAAGACCATTAGGAAACACAGATATGAAATTGCAATTTATAACAGTAGCAAAATTACAGTTATGAAGTAGTAACAAGAGTAATTTTATGGTTGGGGTCACCACAACACGAGGAACTGTATTAAATGGTTGCAGCATTAAGAAGGTTGAGAACCACTGCTCTAGGGTAAGAACTTAGTTGAGAAAGTTCTAGAGATATTCATGAGTGGCCAAGTTACTTAGGAAAAGACAGTAGACTCTTTAAAAATACTGAAACATAGAAGCTATCAAACAGCCTGCATGTAAGGATGGGGATCTGTAAATGTCTGAGCTCCCTAGCAGCTGTAGGGGATGGAAGAACCATCCTACAGAGACTGTCTTCTCTGGAGGACACTTTGGGTTGTGCTGCTTGGCCATGTAAATGCTGGTCTGGACACAAACTGCTTTTCTAGAGATCTTACACTATAACCCTTGTTCTTGGTATTTAATTGTGAATTTCCAGTTCACTTGACTCAAAGCTTAAGGTAGTTGTATCTCTCACAAGTTAAGTCTTTCTACCTGGGAAGACGTATCTGTCTCCTCATCACATTGGCTCTCTGTTGCTATCAATGTGTACCAGTGCCTCAGTTACAAATGGACATAAGAGCTGCTATCAAACGAAGCGTTGCCTGGAAGCTACAGGAAGCATCTGCAAAAGGAACTCAGAATCAGAACAGTGAACTTGGAGAATTCATGGCTCTAAGCAGAAATCTTAGCGAAGGGTAGAGACAGTTGCTTTTGAGTGCTGAGCTGAAATATAAACCCCAGCAGTTTACTAATAACAAATCATGACAGTTTCTGTGATCCTGATGTTAAATGGAAGCAGGTTTCATTTATCTCTCTGCTTGTGGATGGTACTTTTGTGTGATCTGAAAACTGTGTCAGAAGCCATCTTGATGCAATTACCTTCTTTCCTCTGCATTGGTTTCTATATGGGGTATTTGTTTTGTATTAGGCAAAGGGAGGGGAAGTGCACAGACAAAGGGAAGCACTTGAAGGGAGAGCAAGGAAACTGTGGGTTGTGACTTCATATGGCGGGGGTGAAGGGATTGGGAACAATTTGGCACCAGTATATTTTTCTTAGGGAGCAATGACCAAAATTTAACTCACAGTATGAATCCACAGTGTTTGTGGTATTCTTGCCTGTGTTGTATCATGTGACTCTGCTACAGCCTTGGTTCTGAACATATAACATGTACACTTGACACTAAGCATGCAGTTGCATAATGCAATGCCTGTGAATGCTGCATGAAACACCACAGCTCAGATGCAAGCCCACTGCCTGTTATGAACTCAGGAGTTTTTGCTGCACATACAAAGTTTCCTGCTCTTATAGAAACATAACAGCTTTATTATAGAAAACAAAGATTCAAATATTTCCCTACCATCATTCCTCAGCATCAATCAAATGACCAGATCTTTAGATCAAATTGTGTTAAAATATTTGATTTTAAGAACTTCTGTTTGAGTTGCTGACTTGAATTTTTTTTAAAAGAAATTTGGCTTGGGATTAAGACAAAATTTATGGTGATATTTTATTTGTATTAAAATGTTATTTGTATGTTAATAAATAAAGTTGCCCGGGGGTCAGAGCTATTAGCAAGCCATAGGAAAGCAGGGCAGTGGTGGCGTACGCTTGTAATTCCAGCACTTGGTAGGCAGAGCTGGGTAAGTCTCTGTGTGTTCAGGGATACAGCCAGTATTGGATACACATGCCTTTAATCTTAATACCAATCATGGAAAACCTGGAGGCCTATACAGACAGGCCGTGAGGAGGCGGTCATGTGGTTGGGTTTACAACCAATGAGAAGGCAGGACAGGAACTCTATATAAAGACTTTAACACAGGGGTAGCTCTGGTTCGGAGAGGTAGGACCACCGCAGGAGGAAGGGTAAGGTTTTAGCTCTTAGCTCTGACCTCTTGGCTTTCTTCTTTGCATTGGTTCTGTGTTTCTTATTTAATAAGAAGGTTGGATACATCTACAAAAATTTCCAGTAATTTCTGAAAGAGACCTAAACATATTTCTGTCATTTCGTTTTTTTGCAAAGCTAAGTCTCAACACTGATGATTATAAAGTCAAAACACTGGATCAGTTCTGGAAATCATTGCAGATGCTCTCTCTGTCTTGCAGTCTGCATCTTCACTCATTCTTAAAACCAGTATGATCTCATTTATTTAGGCTTCTAATCTCTGACTGTATTTGTTGTCCCAGATTCTATGAGTTCCAGCTTCTCTCAAACATTCAAGGATTCAGTCACATTATTCTGCCTTGTTTTTAAGGGGTTGGTTGGGTTGGATACTGGATAATTAATTCTCAGTTCTAATTCTCTCTAAATTCTAACTTTGGTGATAAACCAAAACTATTGGCCATATCCGTTTATTTGTTTGGTTTGCTTTGTGTTTTAAAGGCTCCATTTTTTTATCCTGATATGTCATAAGGACTCATCAGATGTATCTCAGGCCTCTTTTCTCCTCAGGTACAATTAGACACCAATAACAATGCTGTGGTTAACTAGGCCTGTACATAAGATGGCAGTCTCCTTAATTATACTGCCTAGTGATGTACTTACCTTAGTTTAGGTAAATATTCTTTATAATATCATGGTTTGAATATGAAATCTCCCCAATAGGTTCACTTATTTGAATATTTGATCCTCAGATGATGGTGATGTGTTGAGAGGTTGTGAAACCTTGAAGATGTGGAGTCCCACTGGAGGAAGTGGGTCATTAAGGGGCAGGCCTTAGGGGTTTATGGCCACTTTCTGCTTCCTGAGTACTAACACAATATGACCGTCTCCCTCATGCTACTGCCAAAACGCCTTCCCTGCCACGATGGCCTGCGTCTTCTCCAGCTCTAAAGCACAACATACCCTTCCTCTCTTCAGTTGTGTTTTGTCAGGGGTTTAGTCACAGCAATAAGAAAAATAACTAATACAGATGTTTGACCAGTAGCATCAACTGTGCAAGAGTTTGGGGGGTTAGGTTGCCTCTTACTCCTTCTCCTTTCTCTTCCTTTTCTTTCTTTTCTTCACATGCTTTTGTTCATTTGTTATTTTAGGAGAAAGATGCATAAATGCCTGTCTCATCCTTCTCCTGACTGCTGACCTACCTTCACCTACCTAGTGACATATCTCCGCAATGAGGGTCCATTGGTGTTCACTTGGCAACAACAAATGGCCTTTTACACTACTGAGGTCAAATGTGCAATAAACTTCTTATCGTATGTATTCAAAGGCCTATACTTTGGCCTCAGCCTCACTTTCCCTTATTCTTTCTAAGTCCACTTTATAACTCTGCTGAATCAGACACTACCTGGCCCAGGCCTGTGCTGGCTTCCCTTTGCTGTGTCTTCTCTGTTTAGAGCTCTTAATGATACTGACATGATTGTTATCAACTTCTTAATTAGTCATAATGTATTTTTTTCTAATTTTATTTTATAATGAAGAGTGTTCATTTCTAAAAGGAGCTAAAGACTTGTCAAAGTCATCAGGTCTAAAGATTAAGGTAACACTAGGGAACTGCATTGTTTTGAGCAAGAGCTAGAGAGTGTTAAGTGCCATCTAGTGGTGGCTGCCGGGGAAACAAGGCTGGTTCTTTATCTGAATATTTAATCAGTGTGCAGTGTGCCAGGTACTGACTGAGGACTAATGTATGGCTGTAAACAAATCAGATAAAAACCTCTGCCTGCACAGTGCCTGTCAGGTATCTCATGACTATATCATGTCTAATTTAGTACAAACACAATACCTTAATTAGGCAATGGTTGGGGGCTTGAAAAATCCAGGTACAGCTAGCCATGTCACTGTAGTCTTCAGGATAGTGAAGACTATGTATTGTGCCTTCTTCAAAGAGGATAGTTAGAGACTTGCAGCCAGAATCTAAAACAAAGGGGGCAGAAAAATGCAACCACCAAAAAAAGACTTCTTGTATCTCCCTCCTGTCTCTAACAAGTGATAAGCTACACCTTTTGGCAGAGCCAACACTGAAGGAGAGTCTTGTACACTAGCTTATACAACTCTTAAGGCCCTCTCAGCTCACTTGAGTCAGTGATCACCATGAACTTTCAGGGCAGAGAAGGAGGAGAGACTGCATCCTTCAGCTGGCCAAGTTGCCTTCTCCACTATGGAGCCAGCAGACCTCAGGCAGGGTCTCCCTAGCCCCTCACCCAATTCCTGCGATGCCAAAACTTCTGCAAAGGGCCTAGATAGTAAGCATTGGAAGTAAATGGTTTTACCAGGAAGGAAGTTTGGCTTGAGAGCTTTATAGGTGAGATTAAACCCAGTGGAATAATCTGTGGCATCAGAGATGAATCTCAGCCTGACAGAACTGGAGCCAAGGAGAATGGATGAAGGGAGGCTTTCTCCACAGAATTTCCCTGTAATGCGAGAAGAGTCTTTGTTCAGAGTCTGGAAAATGGCACCATATGAATACCCCAAGGAGATGTGATCTTGTCCTGGAAGTTCAATATTGTCTAATTAGGCTTCTCACCTTCTGCACGACTGGGATTTTGATACAGAATGTTCTGTGTTCGTGTTGCTCTTTGGCTTTTGAAGGATTTTTTAAATGTCTCATTCTTTATAATAGGCTCTCCTACATTCTATATTATCTCCTATATTCTCTTCAGTTGCAAAAGTCAAGAATACTTCTACAATACTGCCAACTATCTCCCAATGGGGTGGGCAAAGTTACTTCAGGGTGAGAATCACAGAAACACTACTCCATTTCTATATTTTGATTGTTTGAGACATGATACCACTATATATACCAGGCTGGCCATGAACTTGCAATCCTGCCTCAATCTCCCAAATTCTGGTGTTACAGATATGTGCCACTATGTCTGGCTTCATTTCTGTTTCTGACATAAATAAGCTTTGTCTCCCATGGCTATATCTTTATGCCATTCTTCCTAGTCTATTGAGGCAGGTAAAAGCCATTTGCACACATAGTTAAGCAGCGTTCTGCTTGGCGTGGCTGGGGGACCAGGCAGTACATGTAAATTTTACTCCTAATTGGGTCAAAACCCAGGTAGCCTGGCTTTACAAGTATCGGATGCAGCTGCTGAAGTACCCGCAGCAGGCTCAGACTCAGTTCTTCCCCACTTTAGAGCAGACTCTCAACATTGGAAAAGGAAAATGTGGCATTTACAGATGGCTCAAGGCCAGACATATTGTAGCCAGACCTTGTTAGGTCCACTTAGCATGACTTTCCATATGACAGTGTGAAGGACCACTCACCAACGAGCCTGTCTTCTAAGGAATACATTGCCAGGTAATTGTGGTGACAAGATTCTACATCCAAGTGGGACATATTGAACAATATATGCATGTCCTCTGGAACCAGCAGGGTCCAGACACACAGTCTGCAGGCAGATACACGGAGAGGGTGTTACTTCTAGTCAGAAAGTGACAGTCATGGTCCTGTTAATGGGCACAGGCAGGCAGGAGGCAGAGTCTGGGGGAGGACAGCAGAGGGAGTACTCACTGCTTGCTCTCATAGTATAGGTGGAGGCTTTCTGGGAAGTGCAGCTCTCCCTCAGACCCACTGATTAGACCATCAGGCTCACTGCATGAAGCTGAGAGGGAAAGCCACAGCATGAGGGCTGGCAGACAATGCTACCCACTATGACAACCTTCCAGAAGCTGAGGACAGGGGAGCCACTGATTCTCCTTTCTGTACACTTTCATTCTTCATGAACTGTTTTCCTGTCTTGGCTCTTATGATGCCTCATTGTTTTGAATTTTTGTCCTTTTTATGCCCTGCTTACTTTTGAGATGCCGTAATCTATTTTCCTTTTTGACTTTGACCCTGTGACTTCATTCCGTGGGTGCAGGCATTTTCGGGGTTCTACTGCAGTCTTCCCTTTCTCTTTCTATCAGGGACCCCAGCATCAGCTTAGTCATACTAGCAGTTTCAGCTCTTAACTCTATTCTTCTGGACTTTAGGTCAGACTTAAACTAATATTCAGTTATCTCCCCTGAAACTCAACATGGTACAAGTGGAATTTCCCTTTATGAGCAAAACTACTACTGATTTGGTTATGTGTATGCTTTCAGTCTCTAATGTTCAAAGCTGTGGTGATATAAAGAATCAAGTTGGATTCCTCCCTCTCTTTACTTTCAGTCCTTACTAAACTGGCTCTAAATTTTTCCTTTCTATCTCCTTTTCATTCTCTGGCCCTTACTCTGTTTTAATCCTTCATTTTTCTTTATCTATAATGAATTCCCCTTGACTTATTCTTCCCTTAACCTCCTTTATGCTGTTCTTATATTCTTATAGTATAGCTATAATGTATCTATCTAAATAACCAACTTCCCATTGTCCAATGAAGCCTATTTTTTGACTGAAATGTGTAGTTCCCAGAATTTGATCTCAAATTATCTTTCTATTCATTTCTCTTGTGAGAATCCATTCTACATCCTATCCTTGAGCTGCTTTGGCTGACTTGCCATTGCACCCCATATTTTTCCTTCTTCATCCTTTGTGGTCTATCCTGGGTAAGGATGTATCTGCTCCAAAGCCTACAACATTGGTCTTTTATATCTGTGAGCAGCCTAGCTCTGGGAAGTCTACTTTGCCATATTGCTTTTTGAGAAAAAATACTACAGCCTCAAAGACACAGTGAAGAGTTAGGCTAAGATCCAATCTCCTTTCTTTAGGGAGGATGTAACTGAGGAAGGAGCTTGCCCCAGATCTCAGAGTGAATTTCACCAAAGAGTCACAGTGAGCAGGGATAACCCTCCTGTGTAAGTAGGGACGCTTTCAGGGGAGGGTACGTAGCTCATTAACTATTTCTGCACCACCTCCTATCTTCTATTATCTAGTTGAAAGTGAATATTTGTCAATTACTGTCTGATGACTTAGACAAAGCTTTGGCTTGACAAGAAGGTACATGGAAGGGAACGGAGCTCTGTGGACATGCAATTGGCAGACTGGCAGGGATAGCTGTGGGTGCTCTTCAGAGTTTTATACCAAGTGACCACAGAAACACTACCAGAGGAAGATATTTGATGATAACCAGAACTGACACTCAGAAATGTTAGGATGTTAATTCATGGTCCTGCAAGTGCAGCCTGCAAGGAGTACCCACCTCTCGTGCTCTTTCTCCGATAGCCTGAGAAACAAAAAGAAAGATGCGATTCAAAGCTTGTGGTACCTTGACAAAAAATTGACTCAAAAGTAGAGCATTTTAAGTCAATATGCAAATACTGAGAATTTAATCTGTGAAAGGAACAGCAGGATGGATAAAATGACAAAGTAGGACAGAGGTCCTGGTGTTTTGAAATGATTTCACTTAGTTTATTCTTACTAATGAAGAAACAGTGATTAACTTGGAGATTATACAGAGCGAAAAGAGGCAAGAAAGCATGAGAATAGAGGCCAGAGAGAAATAACCTTCCTCCCACCATGAGAATTTTGAATAGTCACACAACAAGGATCAGATACCCGCCATTGCGCAATACTCTAAAAAAAATCCCTCAATTATGAGCTAATTTTAATTAACCCTGTTGGGAAATGATGGAAGCCAATTTGAGACTGGAAGACACCAGTTAAGGAAACAGTTGAATTTGGAGGTTAAAAACAAAGTTGCAATTTTCTCCTGGCTAGTTGACTAAAAGTTTATGTAGACTCCACCCTTCAGATTTACCACAGTTGCTTCTATACCAGGGTGTCTATGTCTTTGTCTAATTTGAAGTGAGAATATGCATCCTGGTGGGGACTATCTGATGTACTATATGTGGCTTAGCAGCTCCTGTGATCTTTATCAACTAGGTGCTGGTGTCCTCTCTTTAATTGAGACATCTGAAAATAGTTCTTATATCATTCTCTGGGTGGTTGGATTATCAATTGATCATTACTGAGCTATGCTTTAGCTTGCTGAATCTTGCTAGAACAGTAGAAAAGTAGGTGGAGATGCATATATCATCCATTAACAGAGTTTCAAACATTGGCAAAGCAATTTATGTGAGGAATGTATTCATTCTTCAGCCAGTATTTTAATACTTGGATATATATGATGTTTTGCTCTTGTATTAGATTGTACATTTCAAAATCAAGTGTTACACTAAGAACAGAAATGGCCCTTCCCCAGTCTCAACTTGTCTAGCCTGTTGATGCTCTTTACCCCGTAGAACTTTGGCTTCCTAAGCTTGCAGGATGGCTTCATTACCAGTCTGGATGTGTTCGTGGATCCAGGGAAGCACTCTGCTAAGATCTGTGAAGATCCCAGGAGATCCTTGCTCTTTTCTCCTCGAATTGTTTCTCCAGCCTCGACCACAGCCCAAACCCCAAGAAGTCACGCCAGCTAGAGTCCAGGTCCCTTTCCTGTTCTGGCACATGAGTGACCCTCCTGAGTCTCCCTGAGGAAGGGAGAAGGAAACCTCTGTTACCATGATTGTCGGTGGAGATGCCTCAAAGTGCTCACTCTTCCCCCATGAGAGTGCCAATGACAAGCATAACATGTCCCGACTTCTAGTAATTTAGACACGGGACCCTGGAAGAACATTCGGACACAGCTTCCATTTGATCCTCCAACAGCACAGTCTGTCAGTTGTTGCTCCTTCTCTCCACCCGTGGCTAGAGTATTTCTTCCCTTTCCTGTTCATTCTATGGACTCAGAGATGGCTTGCCTAGTGATACAACAGACTATACTCTTCATAAATGCCAAGAATTGAAAAGTGGCATCCCCAACGCCCCTAATCTAGACACCTCAAAATAAGAAGAGAAATCTTTAAGGTGTGGGATAACCCGGAGCATCTCATCCTTGGCACCACCTCTATTATTTTTGGTGAACAGCAGATTCTAGGTTTAATTGGAATCAGCATTCTTAGGTTCCTCCCTGCTAATAAACTTTCCTGGGCCTGGAGCATAGCTGCAGCCACTTACCTGACAAGCATCTTTTCCTCCATCAGGGGATCCTGTGCAGAGGAATGTCTTCCCAGTAACAGGATTCCTTAAGGTCAACAGAGCTGCCTCACATTCCTCCTGAGTCAAAATTGGCAGGTTTACCTGCTGCAAGACTTGTGGGAGGCTGCCACCTGGAACACAGGGATGGGCCCATCAAGGTAAGCCATTCACTGTTCTGATGTGAAGATGCCCAGTTCTTTCAACAGCAGCAGCTGGATGCAGGTTTTTGTCTCTTTGGAAAGATGATAATTTCTTTTCCTTCCTTCCTTCCTTCCTTCCTTCCTTCCTTCCTTCCTTCCTTCCTTCCTTTCTTTCTTTTGTTCTTCGAGACAGAGTTTCTCTGTGTAGTTTTGGTACCTGTCCTGGATCTTGTTCCGTAGACCAGGCTGGCCTCGAACTCACAGAGATCTCCCTGGCTCGGCCTCCCAAGTGCTGGGATTAAAGTCGAGTGCCACTACTGCCTGGCAAGATGTTAATTTCTTAAATGCACTGAAATTCTCTGCCTTTTGAAATGTTTGCCTGGTTGTTTAAAAAAAATAATTAAAACTCTAATTTCTGGTTACGCACCAGAAAGTTTTGAATTTGGATTAAGAGGAGTGGTGCAGGGGCCCTTACCTTCAGCCAGTCGACCCCAGCCCGCAGTTGTGCAAACAAATCCAGCCTTAAAGTGTTCTCCTGGCTCTGGAAGACACACAGGCCTCACAAATTGGCCTAAAGAAAAGATCAAGGCAGGGCTTGGCTCATTCATGCAGGAGAGGGTACCATAGTTGCCCACCTATAGGCATCTGGGTGGTCCCCCAAGCCCCCTTAAGGTTTGTGGTATATCAGCCTGGTGTCTTCAGGTGTCACTTGTCAGCTTTCTTCTCCTGACACCACATAACCCTACCTCCAGAACCATAAGCAAAGGGCATTTTAGGTAGGGGACCCTCCAGAAAAATTTCTGCCTTCCAGTTTATGACCCAGAAGAACTGGTCTCAGACTACATAATATGATCTGTAGGGGATATAGTATGGGTCAAAGGTTATGGGGAAAAAGGATGGACGATCAAGGTGCACCACAAGTGTTTACCAAATTGGAAGGTTCCAACCATCTTCAGAAGAGCAATATCATAGTTCATAGGTTTTCTGGTGGAGAACTGCGGGTGTATGATGATGGTTTCAATGGCTAGTGTTTGCTCTCCTGGCTCTGCTTGGCTCAGGTCATGTTCTCCAGCAGTAACATTCAAAGTTAATGCAATGTTTCTATGAAAAGGGAGAAGGAAAGAGATGGGGTTTTAATGGGCCTCTGAGTGTGGTTGTAAATGCTGGCAAATTGGCTTCTTCAAATTGACATGGGTGGATAATGTGAGGCATGAGAGTGCCGAGCAAAGCAACTGAGAATGAGCCCATTGCTATTAGAAAACCGAAACACAGAGACTCTGAGTTCCAGGGGAGGGCTTGTAAAGTGTAGAGATAGTGACATGATATCATTAGTATTTGTCAGTGTCATTTGTAATTAGCTAGAGAGATACACATGCATTGTAATTCAGGGAGCTAAAATATATATGAGACTTTATTCAGCTATCTTATTAGGCCAGTGGTTCTCAATCTGTGGGTCATGACCCCTTTGGAGGGTCAAACGACCCTTTCAAAGGTATCATCTAAGATCATCAGAAAACACAGGTATTTACATCATAGCTCATAACAAAATTATAGTTATGAAGCAGCAACAAAAATAATTTTATGGTTGGGGTCATGACAACATGAGAAACTGTATTAAAGGGTCACAGCATTAGGAAGGTTGAGAACCACTGAATTAGGCTGTCCCAGTCTTAATACCAGTGAATTATTTTGTGAATTATTTGTGATTCCCAGTAAGGATGTGGCTTTAGTGTTAAATCTCATGTGGCATTTGTATTATGAAGGGCATCACCCTAACTCTGATGTGCTAGGGAGTATACATACTCACGGATTTGGCACCAATTACAACAATGGAAAGTGGGGATGTCTCTTTTCCTTCTTTATATTTGTAGTTTATAGCTCCCATGAAATGAGAAAGATGCTATTTTTTCAGGTCAGTGTTATCTAGAAGGAACTTGATAGGATGAGATAGGATGGAGTAAGCATTTTGAGCTTTCCATTCTTTGGGACCCTTCATTTCCAATGGTGATATTTTATACACTATTGGAAAGGGCATCATTTCTCTTGGAATGTTTTTCTGAATCTTGGGTATGTTAGCTACTTAATCTAGTACATAATATCTCTCTAGGTTACCACTACCTACCTATATTGTAGGGACACTGTCAGCTATTTACTCATTTGTTTGTTTGCTTGTTTATTTTTATTTTTACTCAACATACAGGGTCTTTCTATGTTTCTCAGGCTGGTCCCAAATTCCTGAACTCAAGCATTCTTCCTGCTTCAGCTGTTCAAGTAGCTGTGTCTACAAATGTGCACCAAATTCCAGGCTAATTTCCTTTTAAACAATGGACCCTCTGGGAGGCATCATGCCTTAGTAATTTTTGTGTCTTTGGTACTCACTAGCAACTGGCAGTAAGTGGGCATCCTAAGAATGTTTTCGGACTTAAATTGAAAGGACAACTATGGGAAAATTATCTTGGTTACAGCCAGGTGTAACCACGATAATGTCTGACACTGACAGCAGAATATTTGGATCATACTAGAAAGCTGATTAAAAAAAATGGAAGTTCTTAGGTTGAAGCTCAGAGAAGCAAGAACAACAGGAAGGAAGACTTGAGAGTCTATATTTTACTGGTCTGTCTTTGTTTCCTTTTATCTACTTCTTAAGATGTATAATGAGCCAGGTAGTGCTTTTTTGCTGAAATATTTCACCAAAACTAGTAGGAAACTTTCACTAGTCAGTCTTTTGATATTACTCTTTGTTGACTTCAGTGGGTTTATGTAAATACAGTATTTTACTTTTGCCAAGAATCCTTTCCTAAGATGAGGACCCGCCTACAATGTCACAGAGCCTCATTTGTGACACCCAATTAGGAAGATTCCTTGTGTTTTACAAGAGTAATTGATTCTGATTCCAAGGGAGGGTAGGTAACCTGGTCCTCCTCCATGAGCCAAACTTCCTACCTTTTAGCCATGCAGTGAGCAGCTGTGATGACCCACTGTGAAGAGATGATAGTTCCTCCACAGACGTGTTTCTGCTTTTGTTTCAGAGACACCTAGATGACAGATTTAAGTTGGTGAAAGTTAATGCTGTGGGGTTCCCCACAAACCTACATCTGAGCATATTCTCAAAGACAGATACATATAGCTTAACCACAGTGATCATGAGTCAGGGACTATGACAATGTATATGACAGTAGTTTGGGTCTACTGTTTTCTCACATGCTTAATGAACTATTTGACCCCTAGAACTTCAAGTCTGTTCTTTAGTTTTCCGCTTCAACATACTTAGAGTGATTTTATTCATTTTATCCCTCCTTCCTCTTTGAGTATACTGTGTGTGTGTGTGTGTGTGTGTGTGTGTGTGTGTGTGTGTGTATGTGTGCATGCATGTGTGTGTGTATGCATGCATGATATACATGTGGAGATCAGCGGACAAATCTTGGACATCACTTCTCTCCTTCCACCATGTAGGTCCCTGGGATCAAACTCAGGTTGTCAGGCTTAGTAGAAAGCACATTTACTCATTGAAATGTCTCTCTGACCCTTATAAACATACTTTCTGTTTTCAACTCAATCTATTCATGATATTTGATTTGATTCTAAGGTGACTTATAATAGAAAAGTAAATATTTTCAATGAATAGCTTCACATTTTTAGGATGAGAAAAAGGCAGTTGATTAGAATTTTTCACCTTTTAACCAAAAATTATTTATGAACAGTAGAAAATAAAAAAATAAAAGAAACACAAAGAGACACAGAAAAAACTGCTAATGTTGTGTAGCTCAGTGGTACAGTGAATGCTTATAGCTTTTTAGGCTCCAGCTTAGATTCTTTGGACCAAAACAAAGAAACAATGGGCAATGAAAAAGAATAGAAGACATAGAACAAAAAACCATGAAAGAAAAGCCGTTGGATCACCATTATGATTTGAATATGAACTTCTGAATTGAATAGATAACCAATTGATCAAGTGACCAATTATCTATTCAAACAAGTATTTGTAAAGTTTATCAATGACAGTCGTTGTGGTCGTTTGAATGTAATTGGTCCTCATAAGCTCATAGGGAGTGGCACTATTAGGAGGTGTGGCCTTGTTGAAGCAGGCATGGCCTTGTTGGAGAAAGTGTGTCACTATGGCAGTGAGCTTTGAGGTCTCCTATACTCAAGCTATGCCTAGTTGAGTTCACTTCCTGTTGCCTTCAGATCAAGATATAGCTCCTTCTCCACTCTCAGCTCCTTCTCCAGCACCATGTCCGCCTGCATGCCACCATGTCTCACCATGATGATAATGAACTATACCTCTGAAACTGTAAGCCATCCAATTAAATGATTTCCTTTATAAGAGTTGCTGTGGTCATGGTCTCTCTTTACAGGAATAGAAACCCTAACTAAGACAGTCAGGTAACCTACTGAACAAAAATTCAACCATGAATATTAATCTTGATTAACTGGGTTGAGAAGTGTCTTCCTTCAAGATTAGGAAAGCACAGCTTTGGAGTGTTGTTAGTTTTTTTTTTTTTCCTCCAGAGGGGAGACCTAATGGAGGTAGCATGTGATCTGGGGAGATATAAGCTTCAGACTTTATAGTTCACCCACCAGAGAAGGGTTTGTGAGACTCACCTGCCAAGGATAGGAACCCTTTTCCACTTGGCTTCCCCCAACAATGCGACTGAAAAGGCTAAAGTAATTCTGAGACTGTGGTTTAACCAGACTCTGCCCACAGTTAGGAGCTGGGAAAAGACAAGACAGACACTGAGTGTTCAGTTTCTAGGACTAAGATATATGGAAAAATCTTCTGAGCAAGAACAAAATGCAGTATATGGAATATATAGAAAAATTATAACATGGCTTTAAGTTAATGGTTGGGATTAGCTGTGTTTTGAAAAACAAGAGATTACTCAGGTTTTGACACACATAAGATGCACACTATCAGGACAATTTCTATTTTGTGTGTGTGTGTGTGTGTGTGTGTGTGTGTGTGTGTGTGTGTGTGTGTGTGTGTTCATTTGTATGTGGGTACACAAGTACATGTGTACATATGAAGGCCAGAGGTCAACTTTGACAGTCTTCCTCAGCCGCTTTCTGCTTGTTTTTAGAGACAAGGCCTCTCGCTAGCCTGGAACTCTCCAAATGGCCTAGGCTGGCTAGCCAGCTAGCCCCAGGGGTCTGCCTGTCATTGCCTCCTCAGAACTGCATTGAAGTATGTACATCACCATATCAGCTTTTAAAAAAATGGTTTCTGGGCACTGAGCCCAGTCTTTTGTACTTTACTGACTGAACCATCTCCCCAGAACAAGGAATGACTTCGAATGTGAAGGTTAAGGGCTCTAGGGATAGGTTGCTACTGGGTTGTCAGGAAGGCAGCCTATTTTCTTTCTGAGCTCTTTGATCTCTAAAAAAAAGAGATTCCTCACAGTGCTCTCTAGCGCCCTCTGACACTCAGTGTACCAAGGCAGTTGTTTCTGGCTTTCAACCCAGCTATGGACTCCACAAACATGGGGATTTAATATTCTCCTCCTTCCCTCCCTCCCTCCCTCCCTCCCTCCCTTCCTCCTTCTCTCCCTTCCTTCCTTCCTTCCTTCTCTCCATCCCTCCCTTCCTCCCTCCCTCCCTCCCTTCCTCCCTCTCTCCCTTCCTTCCTTCCTTCCTTCCTTCTCTCCATCCCTCCCTTCCTCCCTCTCTCCCTTCCTTCCATCCTTCCTTCTCTCCATCCCTCAGTTCCTCCCTCCATTTCCTCCTTTCTTCCTCCATTTCCTCCTTTCTTCCTTTCTCATTTTTGAGACAAGTTCATTTCACTATGGTACTCAGGATCTTTAAGTTCATGATCCTTTTGCCTCTGCCTTTGGGATGCTGAGATTACAGGTGTGAAACACCTCATCTAGCAAATGCACAATGTGTATTACAAGTCCTGATGTACAGAGTTGCTTGGTTAACTTGATGATACTGTAGCCTGCCTCAGTTTGTAATTGTATCCACGTATCTCCCTCTGCTTTGCCCATGAGACTGAGTCTGAGATCATGGTCTGTGGTACCTGTCACACAGTCAGATATGAATAAATCGAATTAGATTTAATGTAGGCCAGAAAACAGATTGTTCAGGGATAGTGGCATAAAGACAGCTTCAACTCACATACTAGTGTTAAGACAGATACCTGTCAGGTAAAGGGAAGAAATAACTTTACAAGAAGACTTTGTCCCTAAAAACATTTCAATATGTGTGTATTTACGTGGGCTTTTGACTTTTTGTATAAGGGGCTAGATTAAATTTGTTTTCTTGCACTAGGCAATTTCAGTGATGGATTTGTTCCTCTCGAGGTAATTTTTTTTTCCATGAGGTTTTCAGGAGGGCGTATAAGACTCTGCCTCATCATCCTTCAGCTTCTTTACTCGTTGAACGCTTACCTACCACTTTAACTGAGACATCCTCCTCGATTTCCTCAAACTGCATTCTGGATCTCTCCCATGGCATAGCACTCTCTCTCCTGACTCTCCATCATCCTTTAAAAGTTCTTTCCAAGCTACATTGTGAGAGTTAATTGTTTGCTTCAGTCACTGGAGGAGGACTTCTTGAGTGAGAAGCTTAGAAATGTGGATCCTATGTATTTGCACTTCTAAGGTCTAGCACAACTCCTTGCATTTGAAAAGCATGAATGAATGCACAAGTGGCTTTCCCTAGGAATATATCCCCATGAGGACAGCTAATTAGATCAATGTTAAAGTACACAAGCTCACCCATATAACTTATTGCTTAATCCCCACATCTTGTCTGCAGAAAAAGCACTTTCACCTTCATGTGGCTGATGTGAAAACTAAAAATCAAAGAGACATGTAGCTAACGACAACAGAGCATGAAATAACCAATTGTCTTTTCATTCTGAACCCAGTGCAGGTATGATCAAAAGCTTTTCCAACCGCTTTAGCTGAATGAGTCATAAATCTGCTAGACGTAAAATTCAGTATTCCTTGAAGTCACTGAGGTAGAGACAGAAGAGACGTTGATTCTCCAGGCTGGCAAAGTCTGACTACAGAGAAGTTTGCCAACAACTGTTTTCAGCTTGTTATAATCAAGGCCAAAAAAAAAATCATTTACACTATGTATCACTGAGCATGATAATTTTCCTGAGGATTCGAAATGTTTCCAAACCTGTGATGATCTCCAGAATTTCTCCATAAAAGGATACAGGATTGTGTAATGCCTTCAAATAAGTAGATATTCCAAATCAGTTGGTAAAACTAGGAGAAAATACTTACTCCCCCCATAAATGTTTCACTTCAATTTAATATGCTTAGCACAGAAGCAAAATCCAAAGAAATATTTTTGAAAACCAATTACATTCCTGAAACAATTTGCTTCTCTTATATTCCCATGAACAAGAAGTGGAATCAGCAAGAGTGACTCCATCAGACAAAGAAAGAAGGTAGTTATGGAGTTAATTTGAAACTTACCTCTGATGGAAGAAAGGGTTGCAGAGTTACCTTGTTCCAAACAGACCATTCCTAGTATTAAAATCAGCTTGTCCTTGCTTATAGGCATGTTGAGATTCAAAGCTTCTCCCAGAAACGCAGAGAGGCTAAAGGAAACAAGGGTGGCAAGCTTTGGAAGAATAGCAATAAAAAACAAGCTTACTTATTAACTGAGATTTGAGGCATTCAACCTTGTCCATAAGATGTTTTTGAATGTGGTTTCTTGGAAATGTCTTTTGTAAGATGTGGGGAATCAACTACAGAAGCAAAGTCTTGGTTGAGCAGCATAACATATTCTATTCCACCTACAGCAATAAATTGCTTCCTCTAGTGTTTCTGGTTTAGCAAAGTGGTTTGTGTCTGAGGTTTTCATTTGCAATTGTTGCTTGCTCCTTTTTCTATAAGAGGATTGAATATTGGTGTGTGACATTATTCCCGGGGAGATGCAAACAACTGTTTACTTACTATTGATAGGGAACTGGTGACAGACTAAAGTAAGAATACCACCAATGCCCAACTTGGTGGACCAATGAGTTTTATTGGAGTTACTTACAGGAATATGGGTGAGGGGTTACTCACGAGAGCAGAAATGACTCAAAGACAGCTGTACCACCAAAAACCCACCCCAGCATGGCTGACAACTCACAAAAGATGAAAACCTAGAGCACAGTGCACAGCTTATAGACAGTTGGACAAGTTGGAGAGAGTCTTTTGTAGGTGGCCTATTGGTTTGAGCCTTTTCTAGGCAGCTCAGCTATTCTGAGAGTGTCTTTCAGCATTCTTTACTGCTTACATATACTTGGATGGGAGGGGCCTAGTAAATCTGGTCAGTTTCAGGGACTTCCTAAAGCCTTTGTGTTGTTTACTTCTTGAGTCTTAACCAGTCTCTCTTTAGAGATTCCTGTGTCTTAAGGAGTTTCCCTCCATGATAGAATGTTTTATCTCAGAAGAATTTGCTAACAACAAATATCAACATTGTCCCTTTGCAAGTGTAGACATTCTTAACTGTTTACAAATAGTCACCATAATATACTAAAACATTTTACTTTTCTTCTTTTCCAAGTGTAACTGCACAGTTATTATTACCATGTGTTAGTGAGGAAGAGGAGAAGAAAACTAACTGGATAGCACATTCCATAAGGCATACTGCTAGACACTCCTTTAGGATTTTAGGATGTTGTTTACTGGGGTTTTGTGAAGCTTCACTTTCCACCATTTAAAAATACATTCTAGGAGGCAAACAGTCTTCACTTCTACACCTGGTAGATGTCTAGACACAGAAAAGTAGCTATAATTACTTGCATATTTTCTTCTTTCCTGGATAAATTTTTGGCATGTCGTGTTGGCTGGTTTTTATATCAGCTTGACACAAGCTATAGCCATTTAAAAAGATGAAAAAAAGTGCCTCATAAGCTTTGCATCGAGCCAAGTCTGTAGTGCATTTTCTTGACTGACAAATGATGTGGGGGAGCCAAGCTCACTGAGGGTAGTGCCATACCTGGGCAGGTGGTCCAGGATGGTGTAAGAAAGGTTGAACAAGCCGGGAAGAGCAAGACAGTAAGTAGTACTTCTCCATGGCTTCTGCAACAGTTCCTGCCTCTAGGTTTCTGCTTGAGTTCCTAATTTCCATGGATGATGGACTGACTATGAGCTGTAAGATAAAATAAACCTTTTCCTTCCCAAGTCGCTTTTAGTTATGGTATTTTATCACAGCAATAGAAATCTCAACTAAGACATATATAGAGTGCAATAAATGGATATGGATTGATAGTGTTATAACCATGTAGAGATATGAAATGTTTCTGTGAGCTTCCTAGAAATTATCTATTCAAAAATAGAAAATGACAAATTAAAAGTCTCCTAACCCCTTTATGACAAAACTTACAGTTTTACAAAATAAATCTATGCACCAACGTGCACACATACACAAATATGAATGCAAAATGATCATTTCTTTCTTCAAAGCAATTTAATTTTATTAATTTGATTTTTTTCTCTATAAAGCAATGCCATTATATTTTTAAAAAAATTTTAACATTTTATTAGTTATTTAGGAACTTGATCATCTTCATCACCCCTCCCCTCAAATTCTTCCCAGCTCCAACCCCACTTCCCACTCAACTTGTGTCCTTTTTTTTCCTTCTAGAATCAAGAACAATTTGTGTTGCCCAAATGTTCTTGGACATATGGCTTTCTACCAGAGCATGGTCAACTTACTAGGGGCTATGTTCTCAGAGAAAGTTGACTTTCCCTCTTCTAACGTCTATCGGTTGCCAATGGCTCCTCTGCTAGAGGTGGGACTTCATGCCCAGCTTCCCTTTACATAGGAGGCGTGGTCTGGCTTGAGCCTGCACAGGTCTTGTGCGTGCTGTCATGGCTGCTCTGAGTTCATCTGTGCAGCTGTTCTGCTGTGTCCAGAAGACACTTTCCTTTTTGTCACTTACCACCTCTAGATATTGTATTCTTTCCATCTTCTCTTCCACAATGAGCCCCAAGCCTTTGGAGGAGGGGTGACACATACATTTTCCACTTAGGGCTGAGCAAAAAGAATATTTAACCCCTCAAATTTACAGTTGTTATATATTTAGGAAATATTTATGTAAAGATGGAAAACGAAATTCCTGATGGAAGCTTTGTCCACAAATACCTTAATCCTGAAGCTGAATTTGAGGCTGTTAATTTGGTTGTGATATTCACCCCAAGAAAAAGGCAATCAATTAGTGCTTAAGCCATAATTCAAACTTCAATGTTTCTTTGGCAACAAGAGCTATTGAAGGTTGCTTTTCAACTCCTTTCCAGAGTAAGTTGGCTCATAGCTCTCCTGACTCCAAAGGCTATTATATTCTGCCTAAAGTTTTTGTGCTGCTGATAGCCAAAAGTTCAGAAAGATGTGATTTGGTCCTGGAATGCTTGGAGTTGAGGAACCTAAAGTAGGTCTATAAGCTGTGACCTACTGTTCATTTATAGGATCATAGGATAATGAACTGAACTATAGACTGAAAATGAAACATTTTATCTCTTAATGTAAGAACACACACATACTTTAATGAACTTCTACTTATTCCTTCATTTGTTAACATATTGAATATATATCTACACTCTGCTGTGAGTATTATCAACACTCATGCACAGCATGAAGCTGAGAATTGAGAATTTGGCGCTCTTCTTTTTTGGGATACATTTTTATATTAGTCAGTGTTCTACTTCTGTGAAGAGATAGCATAACTAAGGCAGCTGGTTATAAAAGAAAGCATTTAACTGGAGCTGGTTGTAGTTTCAGAGGCTTAGTCCATTATGACCATGACAGGAGGCAGGGGAGCAGGCAGGAGTTATGCTGGCAAAGAGCTATATCCTGATCCAGAGAGAGAGAGAGAGAGAGAGAGAGAGAGAGAGAGAGAGAGAGAGAGAGAGACTGGGCCTGGCATATGCTTTTGAAACCTCAAACTCCACTCTCAGTGACATACTTCCTCTGAGAAGGCCACATCTCTTAATCCTTCTAATCCTTTCAGAGTTTTAATCCCTGGTGACTAAACATTCAAACATATGAGCCTATGGGGGCCATTCTTATTCAGACTATCACATTCCACTCCCTGTTCCCCATAGGCTAGTAGTCATATCGTAATGCATAAATGCATTCAGTTCAACTTCAAAAGTCCCCAGAACTGATCACAATCTCAACACTGTTTAAAAGTCCAAAGTTCAAAGTTTCTGAGACTTATGGCAATCTTTAACTGTAACCCTCTGTAAAATCAAAATAGGAAAGCAGATCACATGCTTACAACATTCAATGACACAGCATATACATTACCATTCCAAAAGGGAGGAAGGGTAGTGAGGAAATGCTGGACCAAAGCAAGACTGAAAAACTACCTGGGCAAACTCCAAATTCTGCATCTCCATGTCTGATGTCCATGGATTCTTCAGATTTTCAACTCCTTTCAGCTTTGTTGACTGAAACACACTTCTCTCTCTTTGGCTGGTTCTACATGCAGCTCTCCTTGGTAGGTATCTCACTACTCTGGCATCTCCAACATCTCGGGTTCTCCCATAAGGTCCAGGCTTCACCTTCATAGTTTTCATACAATGACCTTTCTGGGCCTCTATTCAGGGACACCCTTGCCACATGCCTGGCCTCAGAGCTTTCCTTCGCTATGAGTAAGATTCCATACCCCCCTTTCTGTATCCTTGACTCTAAAGCCAGAATCACATCTGTAAATCTCCTAGAGGAATTGACATCAACATTTATCCTGAGCAAATGATAGAAAGCAGTTGTCAGAAAAACTAAACCAAGAAAATATTTGCCAGTGTGCCAGAGAGAAGACTTAGATCATTATGGAGGCTAAATAACAGAAAATCTAATAGTCATGATGCAATATTTTGTTAATACTTTTGAGGAAATGAAAGGACAAACACTCCAAGAAAGGAACAGAAACAAAACAAACCACCACATTCACACCTACAACAAAATACTCCATATATAAAACAAAACCCAAATCAAAACAAACAGAGACAGTTTAATCACAAAATACATACTCTGGAAAGATATGATAATAGTAGATTAGACATTAATTAAGAGGGAACAAATGAGCTGGAAGGTAGATCGTAGAAATTAGCCTGGTGAAGGATGGGGTGGAGATAGCCAAAAAATGAAAAAGAAATTTTAAATGCTCAGAAAAGAATGAGGAAGTCCAACAAATGCCTCAGAGGAATGACAACAATAATCAATTATGCACAGACTAGAGGACATACAATATTATGAACCATGATGACCAAGTTAAATCCTATACAAAATACAAAGGTAGAGAGTAGAATGGAGGACCTCTATGGCCCCATAATCTGACCTCAACAGTTACATTCAGTCCATCTCATTTTTTTTATGATGTTCTCAACACTTCACTTCACAAATTTGTTATTTAGAAACAAATCGTAAGTATTAAATTACTTCATCTAAAATCTAGAATGAGTCTTTTCAAGATGAGGGGCCAATAAAAACACAAAAACAGGAGACAACATCGTTAAACTAAAATTTCCTTTCACCGATTCATGAAATGCCACATCATATTTTATTTA